GAATTGTTTCTCTAATTTCTATTTCTACAGTTGAATTGATAGTATATAAGAAAGCAACTGATTTCTGTGCATTGGTTTTGTACCCTGCCACATTACTAAATTGCTGTATGAGTCTCTTCACAGATTACATGATACTTTATGTGCAAATACAAAAAAATTTTAGAACATATTATGAGCAACTATATGCCAACAAATTAGGAAATCAGCAAGAAATAGATGCATTCTTGGAAACTTATGAACTACCAAAACTGAAACAGGAAGAAATAAAAAACCTGAACAGAGACATAACCAGCAAGGAAATTGAAGCAATAATCAAAAATTTCACAACAAACAAGAATTCAGGGCCAGGTGACTTCCAGGGGCATTCTACTAAACATTTAAAGAAGAAATAATACCTATTCTTCTGAAGCTGTTCCAAAAAGTAGAAATGGATGGAAGACTTCCAAACTCTTTCTATAAGGCCAGCATTACCTGGATCCCAGAACCAGACAAAGATCCCATCAAAAAGGAGAATTGCAGACCAATATCCATGATGAATATGGAGGCCAAAATTCTCACCAAGGTACTAGCCAAAATGATCCCACAGTACATTAGAAATATTATTCACCACAACAAAGTGGGATTTATTCCTGGGCTTCAAGAGTGGTTCAACATCTACAAGTCAATCAATGTGATACATCACATTAATGAAAGAAAGGACAAGAACCATATGATCCTCTTAATAGATGCAAAAAAAAAGCATTTGACAAAATATAGCATTCTTTCTTGATTAAACGCTCCACAGTGTAGGGATATAGGGAACATACCTTAATATCATAAAAGCCATGTAGGTAAAGCCCACAGCAAATATCATTCCCATTTGAGAAAAACTGAGAGTTTTTCCACTAAGGTCAGGAACATGACAGGGATGCCCACTCTCACCACTGCTATTCAATATAGTACTAGAAACCCTAGCATCAGCATTCAGACAGCAAAAAGAAATAAAAGGCATCCAAACTGTCAAAGAAGAAGTCAAACTCTCTCTCTACACAGATGACATGATACTCTATGTGAAAAACCCAAAGACTCTACCCCCAAATTGCTAGAAATCATACAAGAATTCATCGAGGTGGAAGGACATAAAATCAATGCACAGAAAACTGTTGCATTTCTATACACCAACAATGAGACAGAAGAAAGAGAAATGAAGGAGTTGATCCCATTTA